TGATGAAGAGGTGGTCAGCAGGTCTAGCAGTGGGAATAATTTGCAGCTCACGACCACTCGGCGAAGAGGGCTGCTACGAGACATCTGGTCCACAAGCGGGCGCGGTAGACGCAATAATCAGTCGTGCTCGTCCCGCCCGTGTTGCCATAGAAGGTCGGCGCTCGCTCCCGAGCACAGTAAGTAGCACGCAAGTCATGATTCGCTATCACCTCCCCCACCGCTACCCGTGCCTAGCGTGACTGGCTGGCGTGGGACGACCGGGCGACATGCTCCTCATCGCGCACCCACCCTTGCCCTGCGGCATGCACTAACCCGAGCCCGTCATTCAGATCCACACCCGCGATTAGAGTGGACCGAGTAGCTCGAAATTGTTCGGCCAACCGCGAAGTAAGTTGATCGCAGGTAAGCCGGCACCCGCTCATCGCCGAAAGATTCCGAGACCCAGGGGATAATACAAAGCAGTGCAGACTATATCCCAGGAGCCATTTTTCAGTCGAGCATGGAGCCCACGGCCATGAAGTTCAGGATGGGGAACCGCGACCCGCGCGATGTGCGCCTCCGAAAATCTCCTTCCCAGGACAACCGAGCACCCACCAGAGTTGGCGACGAATGGGCTAGAGCGATATCCTGCTTCAACCACGACGCGAGAACGATGCAACTGGCGCATGCACCTGACGTCGCCTCACCGGAGCACCCGCCGCTGCCTTCACCTTCGCGCCGACAAGGGCCAGCGCGTCAAACGATGAGGTCTTGCGACAGATCTCCTCCGATCGATCCCCACTGTTCGCCCGCAGCGGGTTGCAACTGTCAGCGGCCGAGGGAAACGTGAGAAAGAGCAGCCAGCAGCCCTTCATTCCGTAAGGGCAAAAAGAAAAACAATGGATGTGGAGTGAGCTACGTTAAACAGAATTCGCCCCTGCGATGGAAGAACGGAGCCGCGGGCGCTTAATTGGGGGGGAGGAATAAGAAGTCGCCCGCGCGCCGCGGCGGAGCAGAGCGGCGAAGCCGCGGACCTCCAGAAGCTGACGCTCCAGAACAGCGAGGCCATCAGGGGCCTGCCCAACGACGCGGGCGACTTCTGGATGCTGAGCCCCGCCAACGACGCGGTGCAGGGTTCCACGGGGGCGGTGAGAGAGTGCGGCCGCAAGGCCAAGGGGCTCGGCAAGAGCCACAAGCCTGGGCCACCGCGCGGACGCGCCGCCGCCAGCTTCGTAAACGAGGGGGGCACGGAAATGAAGAACGACGCAGACTTGCCAGAGGCGGCGCAGCCAGTTCTCACGACGCCCAGGGAATTCATGGAGACGCTCGGCGGGCAGTAGGGCATGAAGGTGATGACGGAGATATCCCAACAGTGCAAAGTGCAGGCGACGGACCAGGGCGACGCGGCGATGGACGGCAACGAGCGCCCGGCCACAGTGACATTCGTGATCCACACCAGCCTGTACTGCAGAGCGGCCCTCTTCAAGGCCAACATCGAGGAGGGCGTGGCGACGGCGCTGCTAGGGTTCCAAGAGGCTCAAAGCGGCGATCGCGCGCCAGGGTGGGGGGGCGGTCAAGAGCAGCTCGGGGGGGCCGAAGATTGGCCTCGAGAGGGCGATAGAACGCCAGCCCAACCGCCGCCTATGAATGCAGCACGAGCCAGCTCAACTTGGGCCACCGAGAGCCTCGCTCCCCATCGCACCCAGCCCGCCAGAGCATATAGCTGCTGCAAGCCCCGCGCCCTCGAGCGCACCAGATCCGACTCGACGGCTTCCCTTCATGCCACCGCATACTCGCAAGGGGCACACACGCATAGTGATGTCCATTCGCCAGGACCTTGTGCCATTCCAGGAACTACGGACCAAAACGCATATACGCGGGGGGTGCATGGCGAACCTACTACGCGCCGCTACGTACCACAGGGAACTACGCACAAGGGAACACTACCAGGTGGTGCAGTAGACAGGGGGGGAGACACTTACACGCTCTTCACCCGCCCCCCAAGTACTTGCGACGGGGCCGCCGCCCTCCCCCCCCACCACCTCCCCCTGCCCACTTCGCCACTAAGAGGCAACCATATTGCCGAGATGCAGCCCACACCCCTCCCCTAGTACAGCTAGCACGCGCAAAAGGAAATAGAAATCTTTACTGTGGCTCACCATCAGATCGAGTAGGCATAGCAATGAAAGGCAGACTTGCGAAAGGAACAGTTACGCCGACCCAAGTGCTCAGGGCTTGGCTCAGAGGTTTCCCGCGCAACGCACTACTACCGATAGCACGGAAAGCAGTTGCAGGGTGCAGCCCACGAAGATGGAGGGCGGAGGGGAAGAATAATGCGACTGGCCAAGCGACCTCGATCGGGTATGTGTGCGCATTGCGGGCCAGAACCGCACGCGCCCCATGCCGGACGGAGCGGCCGCTGTTTTCAAAGTTGTGCATGCGGCTCTCTATCCCGCAGATAAGAATTCTGCAGAGCAAACGTCTAACACCACGCTCTGTGAACCCTACACAATTTGTCAGACCAACGATCATCCGCCTCCGCAGCCGCGTCATCGACTCAATGTGGGAACATATCCAGCTCATTCGGGCGAGTATGTTGACCATCGAAAGGGCGCTGCTGCTCATACCAGCAGAATATATTCGAATCAGAGGCCCTAGGAGGTCACGCAAGAACATCTTGCGCTGGAAACAGAAAAGGCAACTGGTCAAGACGGTGAGGAGGCCTACGGGGGAATCGCCTGCGACGGACCAGTGGCTAAGCAGCTAGGAGCAACAACAAACAGCAACCAAACCCACGTGGAGCCGAGCAGACAGCGGCACCGCCCTGTAACCACGCCTAGCCCTACTACTACTTCCTGGGAAGCAGGGCATGGGCCACTGGAACGGGGGCAGCCAAAATACTACACAGGGACCGACAAAACGACGGGAACCGAACTGCTCTACAAATGCGCCTGGGTTCCAACTACGTTTCCCCTTTGGCAAGGAGTCAAGCAACGTCACCTCCCCCACTGCATAACTACGGGGGACCCACGATGTAACCACCCCAGGGAACAACTCGAGGCCAAACGGGGACCACAACATCGAGCCCTACAAAACAAGTGTAGAACAGAAGTGTAGGAGAACGAGGACTACCACAAGCCTATCATCCCTAAGGAAAACCAGAAGAACATGGAGGGCACAGGGAGAGCCACAGTCCCGACAACCACTACGGTCCCTTTTCTCCGTAGATGTTTTGGCGGATTCAACCAACGAGCGAGCTGTCACGTGTCGCACGCAAACGAATGCAACCAGCACCTATCTGCGATGGCAGACGCCTCCCCGACACAGCCTGGCAATCCAGTGGCGTGGCTCGGAAAGGAGGACAACAACGATATGGCCGTGCTGATCAAGAAGCCACATGTGCGTGGAGGACATCAGGAGCAAACATTCGGCCGTATAGAATACAGGCCCAACACGGCCCACGCGAGCCTGAAAGCGACGGCGCTTGTCTACACCTCCAACCGGGACAAAACGACTAAGCCATCAACCAGCTCCGGGGGCAGGAGGAGCGCATCACCACCAGCCTGGGCCGCATCGCGCATGATCGCTGACCCAACCCGCACGAAGAGATGGAGCGTGCGCAGTGTATCTAAATCATGAAGCACCAGCCGGAGAATCCCAAAGATACCTGGAAGACGGCGAAGAGTTTCCACACGTGCCTGACGGACACCTCTCGCCACGTACGGGGGGGCCTTTCCAGTGGGAGATCGACTACAGCCATCGCCAGAATGACGAGCTCGAGGGGGTCGACACCAAGTGGTCGAAGCGACCTCATGGGTACGGCTATGACGAGGTGGAGGCACCACAGTAAGCGGGTCACCAGGCAGCCAGCCAATTGGTCACGACGACGTACCAGCCGAGGGCCCCATGCACATCACCGTCCATGTCGCTCCAGGGATGGAAGACGCACTACAAAACGGTCACGGAGGCAGAGATGTGAGCGGCGAGCGCTCCAGATGCCGAGAGCAGCAGTGGCGGCCGCCTCACCGACCCACAGGTCGTGCGGCCTCGGCCTAATGGAGTAAGGAACAGGCGACAGTGAATATCTGTTCTGTGCAGTGGCATCAGTAGCCACAGCAGCCGTGCGTGCATGAACAGTACTCTCCAGTGGTGCGTCAGACAGCCTACTTGCTGCCAGTGAGCAGCCATCCATAAGACGCAGAGGCCACCAACATGTTCCTTGTTTTGCCATGCGCAGAAGAGAGGGAGTGGGGACGGGCAAGTACTCGAAGTACCAGGCCCCTTCCCTCCTTGTTTGGTTGCGACAGAGGCAGAGGCGGGAAAGAAGGGGGGTAGGGCGGGAGGGAGGTCCTCAGAGTCGACGGCCCGCCAGTCAGGGCAGCCGCCGACTCCTGCTCTGGTCTCAGAAGAACGGGTTTGCAGGGCCCCCCTGCAGCGGGGCAGCTCTTCAGCGCTGCCCGCAGCAGTGCTGCAGCAGCGAGAGGGGCCCGCCACAGGCAGTCTCTCGGGCTGACAAGCGCTCGGTTCAGGGGGGCAGCTTCCATATTACCCACAGGGGCCCGCTCTCAGGTTTCAAGCTTGAAGCACATATGGACCCTCAACGACCTTCACCTTTACCTTTACCACCTCCTCCTCCTCCTCCTCCTTCTCCTCCTCCTCCTCCTCCTCCAACTCCTCCTCCTCCCCCTTTCCCCCACCTCCACCTCCTCCTCCCCCCCACACTGCCTCCTATTCCTCCCCCTTCTTCGACTTCTCTGGATCACCATCCCCCCCCTCGTCCTCATCATCATCCTCTTCTCCTGTTCCCTCACCTCCTCCAAATTCCCCTTTCCCCCCCCCTTCCAGCCCCACCCAAACCTTCGTACCCATCCTGCCACCCCTGCCCCCTACATCGTCTCCCCATCCAGCTCCCACCCCCATCGCCCTCTCGCCCTCCAGCATGCCCCTTATCGTCCGCCTCCCCCGTGGGTCTCCCACCCCAGAGAAAGGGCTTCGTCGCACGGATGGCCCAGCCCTCCCGCCTCTCGCCAGCAGCCCGGCTGCTACCGCTGCTGTCTCGCCTCCGGACGGAAGGGGGATGACGAGAAGCAGCCTTTGCTCCTCCTCCTCCTCCTCCTCCTCCTCCTCCTCCTCCGCCTCCTCTGCGCTCCCTTCTCCTACTCCTTCTCCTCCTCCTCCTCCACCTTTTGCTCCTCCTCCTCCTCCTCCTCCTCCGCCTCCTCCATGACGCCCTCTTCCTTCTCTTCTGCCCTCATCATCCTCCTTCTCCTCCACCCCACCTCCCTCCCTAGTCCTAGTCCTCTTACTCATCGCTTCCCTCTCCTCCCGAGAGGGGAGTTGGAGAGGGAAAGAAGGAGACGAGGGGAGTTCGGAGAGGGAGAAGATAAGAAGAGGTGAATCAGCACGAGCCTTGCACGACCTAGGAGCAGTCCCCGGAAAGAGGCAAACTTTTTATACTCTCGTGCCAAGGTTGGATGCTGAACTGGGAAAGGCCGTCCCACCCTCATCCCTCCCCCTCTCGTCGTTTCCTCTTTCTCCGTCCCCACCCCGGCGCCTCCCCAGCGAAATTGTTATAAACATTGGTGAATACCCGTCTACATGTCGGGCCCTGCATCAGCACGGTCAGACGATAACGTATGGGCCGGCAAGCCCTTTTCGGGCTTCGCCGCACGATGTGCACATTGATGGCAAGCGTTCCAGCGCCGCAACCAGGCGGCCATGTTGGTTAGCGGGGATATGGAATAGCCATGTTGGCCAGTGAATAGCAGTCAAACCACAGCTCGGGCATGCTTCTCGCGGCGCTGAGAGCACTGACAGTGGTACTCAAGGATGCGTCAATGATTTTCCAGTGCGCATTGCCGCCCCGAGACCTATCATCAGAAGTCCCTACAATCACTGCTTTTCGCTGCGGGAAGCAGCCCTTTCGAAAGTCGAGAGATCAACGGGCATGTCATTCAGGCGCGATTCCAGTTGTGAAATGGAACTGTCCTGAGTCATTGCTTAAGGAAGTGTCCGGTCCAGCAAGAGCCCCCGCTTGAAAAGGAATGATGATCCACTGTCCTCACTGATTAACAACTGTCATGAACACGATGTGTGAGAACAAATAAAGCAAAGGCACTTTGAATGGGATGAACCACCCGCCCCATGTCCGTCTAACAGTCGTACCCGTCGAAGACACGTGCGCGCAGAACTAGGGCGAGAACCACATTCAGGAAAACACCCGCCCCCGCATCGGCCTAACGAATGGAACCTTTTGAAAAGAAATTATGCGGCGCTAGGGCGAGAACTACATGTTGAAAACTACCGGCCCTCCTTTCGTGCAGTCGATCCTCCGGGTCATATGCGGTGGGTACGTCTCAGGCAAAACGCCAGGGCCGCCCGACCGACACACGTGGTGAACTGGCACAGAGAAGCTCCTTGTGAGGAGCAAGGATGGAGGAGGAGTGGGGGGGGCCGCCCGCCTCCCAGCGGGAACAGGCGGCGACTGCCGCAGGCCCTGCAGCTCCGACCGCTGCTGCGCAACCTCGCCCTCGAGCCGGTCGACGAGGCCGTCCCGCTCGGCGAGGGCCGCCTCGCTGCCCTTGAGCCGGGCCCGCGCCTCGGCCGCGTCGGCCGAGGCCCTCTCGGCCTCTGCCCGCGCCTGGGCCGCCTCGCCACGCAGCCGCTCGGCCAAGGCGCTCCCCTCTGCGAGGGCCGCCTCGCTGCCCTGGAGCCTAGCCCGTGTCTCGGCCGCGTCGCCCGCGGCCCTCTCGGCCTCGAGCCGCGCCTGGGCCGCCTCGCCCCGCAGCCGCTCGGCCAGGGCCCCCCGCTCGGCGGCGGCGCCCTCCTCGGCCCGGAGCCGGGCCCGTGTCTCGGCCGCGTCGGCCGCGGCGCTCTCGGCCTCTGCCCGCGCCTCGCGCAGCTGCCTCGCTGCCGCGTCCGAGCCGGTGGCCTGCGTCCGAGCGCAGAAGGCGAGCTCGTGCAGCTCCGCATCCTGGATCGAGGCATCGCGCGCGGCCGCGGCCAGCGACTGGACCAGCTGGTCGTCCTCGCCGTCCTCCCGCTTGGCCTCCTCCGCCGCCAGCTCCAGCAGCCGGCGCGCCTGCTCCCCCTCCAGCAGCTTCCTCAGCCTGTCGATCTCCAGCGCCTGCTCCCTCCTCTCGGCCTCCAGCCGCCGCTCGCGGCGCGCTCCCTCCTGCAGAAGCGCGGAAGCGGCGGGCCCGTGGGGCGAGCCGGCCTCCCCGCACTCCATCGACCAGAACACCTCCCGCAGCCGCCCCAGCTCGTCCAGCAGCGAGGGGCTCGCGCCGCCGCCACCAGGCCGCGGCGCCGCCGCCGTCACCGCCGCCGCCGCGGCCGGCTCCTGAGGTGGGAGGTGCCAGCTCAGGGGGGGGGAACCTCGAGCTGGAATCGGCGATTCATAGCAGATGGATCGGCGAGATAGGCCCCCCCGACAACAAATCCGCAAGTCCCCGGGCGGGGTGGGCGACTGGGACCGATGCGCCCCTGCCCACCTTGAGCCTATCCCCTATCTCCCCAAATGGTCCTCGTCGACTGGCTTTCGGGCCATAATTCGGGTCTCCGCTGGCCGTTCGTGACGATCTGGGCAGCTCCTGACGCGCCTTGGCGTGGCGCAGCTGCTGGAGAACACTCCGAGGCTGGAAAGCAACGCCGACAACCGACGAAGCGTAAGAAAAACCTCGAACCTCGAACTTCGAAAACATGGGCCCCCCTGAACCCATCGCCCCCCCAACGTCGCCCCTGCGCCGCTCCTTAGGGGGCCGTGGCACGGCGCCCCCCATGGCGGGCGGCCTCCCGCCGGCCGCCGCCGCGACGGCGGCAGCGCCCCGCGCAGCGGCCCGCGCGCGCGCCACCTCCGCCCCCGCGCTCGCCGCGTAGGGCGCTGGCGAGGCGGGGCACGACGCCGCCCCGCCGCCCCGGCACCACGGGCCCTCGCCCTCGGCGCGCAGCGGGTGGCCCGGACCCGCCGGCGCCACGGGGGACTCCAGCCAGCGGGGCTGCCACGACGCCGGCGGGGCCGCGGCGGGCCGCGGCCCGCTGGTCGCCGCGGGGGAGCCCGGCCAGCAGGGCTGCAGCGGCTCCGGCATGGCCGCGGCGGGCCGCAAGTCGGGCGCCGCCGCGCAGCCGGGCGCCCTTGCCTCCGGCCTGCCCACCTCGAGGCGGCGCTGCAGCTCCTGGATCCCCTGCTCCCTGTCGGCCGCGGAGGTGCTCAGCGCCGGCACCGCGGCGGGGGACTCCGGCCTGCGGGGAGCCGCGGCGGCACCGCCGCTGGGCGGGGCAGCTGCGAATCTCTGCACAGGCGCCGGCGCGCGGTCGACTGCGCTGGCCTCCTGCCTGGCCACCTCCACGGGGGGGGGCGCAAGGCAAGGAGGGAGCCAAAAAGAGAGAGAGAGAGAGAGAGAGAGAGAGAGAAGATGGGAAAGAGAAGGATGGACGGGATAATTAGAAGGAAACGCCAGAGGAAGGAGAGGCGGGGGGGTGGGAGGGGGAACGAGGATGAAGAGGCAAACAAGTGAAGCATGGGGGGGGGAAGGGGTGGAAGGATCCTCGAGGGACGGGAAGAAAGGGGACAGGAGGGAGGGGGGAAGGGCAGCGGAGCCTTCCTGAGTCCTGTGGCTTCCTGGAGCCTCCGGGGACCGCCGGGAGCTCCTGGGGCATCCCGAGGGCTCCCCTGTCGGCCCCAGAGCGGGGATGGGTGGTGAGAGAGCGTGGACTGGACGTGAAGGGCGCGGGAGCGTGTGGGGCGGAATGTGGGGAGTGCGGTGTGGGGAAGCACAGCTAGCGATGGAGGCGCAGGCCACCCTCGAGCACTCTGGGAACAGCCCCTTGAACCCCCTCGGGTCTCCTCCTCTCCTCCTCCCCGCTCCTCCCCCTCCTCCTTGGGCCACCTCGAGGCGGCGCTGCAGCTCCTGGATCTCCCGGTCCTTGTCGGCGAGCACCGCCACAGGGGACTCCGGCCAGCGGGGCTGCGACGGCGCCGGCGGGGCCGCGGCGGGCCTCGGCCCCAGCGCTGGCACGCTCTCGGGCGGCCTCGTCTCGCGCCTGGCCGCCTGGAGCAGAGGGAGGGCGGGAGACGGGGAGGGACGGAGGGGAGGAGGTGTGGGATGGAACTGGATGGGAAGGGCCAGGAGGACGAGGGAGGGAGGGAAAGGAGCGGGGGGAAGGAGGAGGGATACAGGAAAAGGGGCCCAGTGACTGTGACTCATTGGTTCGAACCCCGCGTATACGCGGCGTTTCTCCCTTCTGCGAGCGCCTCCGACCTGTAGGCCCTGCGGGCCTTCAAGAGACAGAGCCCCATTCAAGAGGCGGGAGGGAGGGAGGAAGGGAGGGAGGGAGCGACAAGGACGATCGGCGATGCTGGTGTCGTGGTGCGAACGGCCCAGGCTAGGCATGACAAGGACAATGATATCGGCAATGACCCCATCCTTCTGCGACTACGAGCCAGGCTGGCTCAGGAGGCATCCTCCATTGGGAGAAAAGTCCACGAGAGGATCACCAGGGGTGCCCCAAATGTGAGGTACGCATTGGGCATTGGAACTTATACCTCTGCATGTGAATCACATGTGCGTGTTCATGCCAACTCTTCGGACACACAGGTCGAAGGTGTGCACTGAAATGCCAAAACAACGTCACTGGGTCCAAGGCTGGCGTGGCATTCCAATCCAGATGCAAGGGAGGCACTGGCAATACTTGACCATCTGGATTCCAACACTTAGGCATGTACATACTTTGACACGGAACTCGGATACAGGACGCATTGAGAAACAACACACACGTTGTCAGTAGGGGGGCCCCACTACGCAGGTATTGCAAGCGGTCCTGCAATCGAAACAGCATTCATGTAGGCGATGCCTGAAACACCCTGTGAAATCCTCCAGCTGCGCCATCTAGTCACCTAGTCACTATTCACAGGCGTCGTCGGTGTGGTGCGCTGCTCGAACTGACCCCAGGTTTAAACCAGCCTGGGCTATTCAACCTGGTGAGCCTCCTCTTGTTCGCGTAGATGCTTGGCGTGAATCCTCCCTGGCCGATGTCGTGGCACTTGCCATTGCCAAACTGGCAGAAGTGACTCTAACCTGTCCTCTCCTACGTCGGCCTTGCATCGAGCTCCACGATGGCTCCCCGATAGCCGCCCCGCGCACCAACCCCCGTCACTTCCTTGTGATTGAAGGAGCGCCTTCAGGGTGCCGCCGAACGTCCGCCAGCGGGGCGGGAAACCAGCAGGGATCACCCTCGCCAGAATCGCGAGAGCAACCCGAAGAATCGCGGGAAGAGCAGATGCCTAGATACGTGCAGGTGCCAGACGACGAGCTGGAGGCGAATCCATACTCGAAAAGTTTGTCGCCGGAGTTCTGGGGCGGCACCCGACCCTCCTCCGCCGCCACATCCTCCTGGCAGAGGGGACCCCACGAGGGCGACCGGGTGCCTGGGGGCAACGCGCAACCGAATGGCGCCCGCTCCGCTCTCTGGCCGAGCCGCAGCAATGCCTCCCAGGCGCGAACTCCCGAAGCCGACGCCGCCCCCGTCCGCGAAGAGCTCCTCCTCCTCGTCCTCATGCTCCTCCTCTTTCTCCTCCCTCCTCGTCCCCTCTCCGTCCTCCTCCTCCTTCTCATCCTCCTCTTGTTCCGCTCCCCTCCCTCCTCCCTCCCTCCTCTCTCTGGAGCGTGCGGTCGCCGCGTGCGCGGTTAGCCCTCGCTTGCAGACTCTTGAGCGTGCTGCCGCCGCTGCTGATTTGGAGGCGCTGCGCCTACAGGACGCTGCCACTGCTGCCCAGCCCCAGAAGCACCACGGAGGCGAAGCGGCCGCCGCTCCCGCAGCCGTTGCCGGAGTGCCACAGGCGGATCTCGTTCGCGCCTCGCGGGCAGGTGCTGCTGCCGCGTCTCGAGGCCATCGGCACGCGGAAGTGTGCCAGCCCGTTCCCTCCCAGCGTCCCCTTTCGGGGCCTGGGGGAGGCCGCGAGGCAGCCTGCGGGCCTCACCCCGCGCCAGCGGCAGGAGCACGACTCTGAGCAGCCACCGAGGGTGTTCGTCTCCCTGCTCTCTGAGGGAGCTGGCGGCCCAGGTCCTGCAGATCCGGTTCCTGCTTTCCGTCATGACGCGGGCGGCGGCGAACAGTACCCGTGCCTGTCCGCGAGCGCTAACTACTCTGGGTGCGTGAGCCGCACGCAGTGCCACAGTTGCCTGACCACGTCCCTTTAGCAGAAGGTCGAGGTGGAGGTCGCCACATATTGGAGTCCCAGGACGATCACACGCGGAGGACTGCAATGGAAGTGGACTCGTTTTCACCGGCCCCATTCTGAGACGGCCATGTCGAGGCGTGAGATGGCGTCTCGCCTCGACCTGGCTGTCGCCGAGGCTTTGTTTCACATGTGCGTGCGCTGGTGGGTCTGGCATGACCATTGCATGTGGAGATCCCCCCCACTTCTCAGGCCTGTAGTTACGACGATATGCTTGTCGATGCGCGCTTGGACGAGCTTGACCACTAGTTGCCCAGGAAGAGATTTAGCAGTCGAGGATGGAGGGTGGGGAGGCAGTAGAGGAACACGAATGCCAGTCTGTGTCCCAGACGTAATTACGCTTCCCCCTCCAAACCGCCCGTCGTCGCTCATAGTATCCCTCCCTTCTCGCTCCTCCCTGCTTGTGCTTTGCGAGTGAGCTCGGAGAGGCCATGACGTTCATCGTTCGCACCGCGACCTGTCAGCAAGCTGCTCAATGCCATGTTAGCCCTTCCTTCCCTTCTGATGAAGACTGCAGCACGGACTTGCAAGGAGCCTACACGTGCAGGAGGTGTTAGATATGTGTCCCGGCCTCTACCTCCCTCTCGTTTCTGCCATCCTCACGGGGCTGGAGGTTTTGGATCTGTGTCCCAATCGAACTCTCACCTTCTCGGCATGCTTCCTCCGCCTTCCCTCCCTCCTCCATATTCCTGCAGGTCCCTGTGCCTGACGGCCTGTGCCGGATACGCCGCTTGATTGTAGGGGGGGCGGTGGACAGGCCAGGAGATCGGGGTGTGGAGGACGTGGATTGGAATTGCTCCTTCTCTAGCCTCGGCGCTTCGGGGCAACCTGTCCCGTCGGCTTCGTGGCTGAGGCTACTCTGTCCTGCTCTTAGAGCCCTGTCTTGGCGCCCGTGCCGAATACCCACGCCCTCCGTCAACACCTGCTGCGCACTGTTCGGGGCCCAGCTCCTGCCTCACCTGGCGAGTTGAGTGCCGTTTCATCCTGACCAGCCAGCTGCTGAATCCGATGCGCAATCCTCCTCCCTCCTGCCTCCTCCCTCGTCCTTCTCTCCCCACCCCGCGCACTCTCGGGAGGTTGGCCTGGTCTGCCCGACCCTCGACACAAGAGCAGACCAGGGCCGCAGGAGGCGCCCGGGCCATGGCAGGAGCGCTCACCATCGCGTCGAAGGATCGGATCGAGTAGGAGACTGTGCGCCGGCCGCATCGGCAAGGAATCGAATACGAGCGGGGTCGACTGCGACAGCAGGCGCACCAACGCCAGATGCAGGCTTCGGGTCGCATCGGCTCGTCGGGTAGAGTCGGAATCTAGTCGGATCGAGCTGGCCGGAGACGACATCGAACCCGATCGATCGGATCGAGATGGACAATTCATCGAACTAAACCGGAGCCGACGCCCCCACATGATCCTCGTCGTCTGGCGTTCAGGCCATAACTCGGGTCTCCGGCGGCCGTCCGGGACGATCCGGGCAGCCCGGCAACGCCCTCGGCGAGGCGCAGCTGCCGGAACGCATCCGGGGGCAGGAGGACGTCCAAGAACCAATGAACACGTCGTAAAATTCGGTCGGGACCGATACCGAATCGGATCGATCTCGGATCGAAGTGGACCTTGCGGGGCGTGGCAATCTCCGCAGGCATCGCTCCCGCTCGCTTGGGCCGCTCGGCTCGGCATGCCGCGCCTGCCCGTGGGGGGCGGCCACTGGCCATCCCCCGCGTGCAGAGCCCAGGGCGACAACGGGCGCCCTGCTGGACGATGGTAGGCGCAACCCCTTCGGGGCCCCGCGCGGTCCGTCGCCGCAACGTTTTGGGACTGCGCGGCCCCAGTCGCCCGACACATCCTCGGAGAGCCCAAAGTGCAAAGGCTGTGCGGTCACCCCGAATCCCCACTGACTCATCACACGGTGTGGTCACAGCACCGTGCGAGGAACCGCGAAAACCCATGGCCAGGCAAATGCCCAGGACGAGTCCAAACCAGGGCTCCCCATATGCCGAGCGTTTGAGGAAGCAGCTAGTGCGGGAGGTCCTCATGAGAACGACTACCGACTCTTCGGCACACATGTTAGGCCATGCCAGATTAGGCCGGAATCGGCCCAGGACTAAGCAGGATTACGCTGGGTGTAGCAGGATTATTCCAAATCTGGCCGTTTTCTAGAACGGGTATCTACCAATGCCGACTCCCAACTTCACCTCCCTCTCAGGAATTGCATCCTAAAGTGTGTGTGGCCCATCCGACTGAATATACTGGCGTGCCTGGCGTACGGTCAAACATCTTGGACACGGAGCAGCTTCTTCGTGTCCGACCTCCGAGCTTTCGCTACAACGCGGCCTCTACGTGTTTGGTGTCATGGAGGCCACATTGCAGCGGACACTAAGCTTGATCAGCTGAGGGTGGGAGGGAGGGGATGCGAGGGGAATGACGTGACGGGAAAGGCGGGAAGGGGGAACGAGAGGGCAAGAAAGATAGGTGGAAGAAGGGAGCGCAATGGAGGGACTGGAAGGGCAGGTGAAATAAGGATGGACAAAACGGGGAGAGAGGGAGGGAAGGACAGGCGATTTGGAGGAAAGGAGAACGCGTGTATATATAACATAAAAAGAAAGAGCGAGAAAGAGAGAGAGAGAGAGAGAGACACACACACACAGAGCGTTATGGAGAGAAACAAGAATGGGAGACAGAGAGGAAAGAGACAAAGAGAACAAGTACACAAACAAGTCAGATAGACATACTTAGAGGCGAGAGGAGGGAGGGGACGGGCGGGTGAAGGAGGGAGGGTAGGAAACAGGAGGTTGATGCGGGTCAGGGAAAGGGATGAAGGGATGGGAAAGGGCGGAAGAGGTTCCTTCCACTCCAATGTGTCGTCTTCCTCCTCCCCTCAGTCTCATCCTCATCTCTGCAAGTTGGTTGCAGGAGAGTGGACCACCTCGAGGCGACGCTGCAGCTCCTGGATCTCCCCGTCTTTCTCGGCGATCAGCATCCTCAGCGACGGCGAGGAGGACGACTACAACGAGGAGGAGAGGGGGAGGGGGAAAGAGACAAGGGGAAGCGGAGGAGGACATCACAAACAGCACGTCATGAGGAGGACGACGATGAGGAGAGGGTGAAGAGCATAAAGGAGAGCAGGAGTGAGAGAAGGAGTGGGAGATGGAGGGGGGGAGGGAGAAGGAGGAGGGCGACGACGACGACGACAACAACGGCGACAACGATGATCGGGCAGGGGGACGAGCACGGATTACGACGATCGAGGCGAGGGGGGAAGGACGAGAGAGGAAAACCGCCGTCGGCGTTGTCGTCGCTGTCGTCCTCGGCGCCGGTGCCGACGCCAGGGACTCCGACCAGGGGAGGGCCTCGGCGGCGGCGCCTGGCGGAGAGGCGGCGGGCGGCCTCAGCTCCGCTGCCGGCGGGCAGTCGAACGCCCTCGCCTCCTGCCTAGCCGCCTTGGGGGGGGGGGGGGGGGGCAAGAAGATTGGGGAGGGGGCGGGTCTCAGTCCTCGCCACCCTCGCCTCGCCCGGCCCCCTGCTCCTCCTCCCTCGTGCTCCTCCCTGCTGCGCCCACAGTCCCCGAAATCCGCTGACACTTCGGCGTGTGTATGATGCTTTTCCGTTTGAGTCGTCGTCGTTGTCGTCGTCGTCGCCATCAGTCCCAAAGAAATGGAAGAACAAGGACATTGAAAGACGTCGCATTTCAGTCGAAGGGAAGCCTCTTCCCTTTGATCCCTTCCCTGCATGAGGGAGGGGCGCCCAGGGATCCCGTAGGAGGGGGGTCTCTGGTCAGAACGCCATCCCCCCCCAGGGGGTCCCGGATCCCCCAAAAAATCCAAGCAGGCCAAGAGTGCCCCGAAAGGCCGCCAACATGATCGAAGAGGGCCCCGAATCGCCGAGCGATCGGTCCAAGACGCCCAAGATATCCTCCACACAGCCCAGGAGGCTTCCAAGACGGCCCCAAGGAAGCCCAAAGAGGCCCCCAAGAGGCTCCCGAGAGGCCACCAAGCGGCTCCTAAACTGCAGCGCTCCGAGAAGGCCCCAAAAACCATCCCTGAGGACTCTGACCCACGTCAGCGTTGTCGTCGTCGCCGCTGTCGTCGTCCCCCTTCAGGGTCGGCGGCACCGGCCGTAAGACCTTCGCAATAGTTCTTCGCTGTCGCGCCCCCAGGCGTGTGGGTACGGGGGGCTGGGCGTTTCGCTTGAGACTTGCTCACCACTCGTCATCCTGCAGACTGAAGTCTGGAAACAGCTTCAAAGATGGAGGGCCGTCGGCTTTGAAAATGTGGCTCTCGCCACAGTGCTACCTGCATTCGTCTGAATAGATTGCAGCAGATACACAGATGTAACACCGGTATTCTTTTCAAGATGCGGAGGTTGCTTCCGCGCCGTGCACATTCGTCTGAAAACTGTGCGACAAGTTCAGAGATGGAGGAGCAGTGGCTCTCAATATGTGGATATTGCCTGAATGCCGCATACATACGTCATGATAGAACTTGAAAGATTTGCAAGGATGGAGGGAGGATTGTTGGCAACACTCTCGCCTTAGCGCCACGCGCATTCGACTTCAAAGCCTGCAAAAGTTGAAAGGGTGCAGGGTGGGCCCTTTTTCAAACTGTGGTTCTTGCCCCAGCGCCGCGCTAAGTCGTCCTACGGATTGCAAGAGTTACAGGGGTGGAGGAAGGGTCGTTGTCCAAACTCTCGCCTTAACGCCGCGAGCATTTGTCTTAGAAGTTCGTAGCGTCTTCATGGATGGATGTGAAGACGTTTCCGAAATGGGGTTGCCGCCTGAATGCGCGCAAATTCGTCTTCACAGCTTGCAACCGTCAGGAATATGGGGTGCGGCTCAGTTCCAAAATGGGGCTGTTGCTTGACAAGTCCTTTCTTTGAAAGACTCGGAATTTCAACACATGTCGCACTTCACGGATTGTTGGGGGCTGCTCTTCGAAGTGAAGCTGTCGCCCTTTCTCACGATCATGTGTAGACCTGTGCAGTCGTGACACGGATGGGGGCGTTTGTTTTTCAAAAGGGGCATACCGCTCGATACACCGTTGAACTGCATAGTATAAAATGTTAGTTTCCCTTGCCACGCGCCAGAAGAAGGCAACTCCTTTTCAAAGCGGGGCCCTCACGAAAGTAGCAGTCCCACATGGTGCTGGTCTTTCGCGTGGGGGCGCCTCTTGTACTGAGGGGCGCAGAAGGTAACCTACGAGGGGAGGGTGTAATGCAGCATCGCTGATGCATTTTTGGTTTACGCTGGTCCTCCTTTTTCTCCTCCTTCCTCCTGCTCCCCCCCTCCCCCTCTCGCGGTGTGCCCCCTCCCCCTTATCCGCTCGAAGCCCTCCTCAGACTAGGCACCCCGAAACGAGGAGGGAGGTAGGGCGAGACGACGGGGAACGGACGTCGGAATCGAGTTGGATCGGCCGGGATACGGCACAGCAGCGCCATGCGAGCATCGGGCCGCACCAGCTCATCAGAACGCATCGGGATCGAACAGGACCGAGCCGATCAGAATCGAGATCGACCTGGATCGATCGGATCGAAGTGGGCCCTGCCTGGTGTTGCGGGGGCAGGGCGGAGGTCAGCATCGTCTGGCCTCCCGATCCCTTCGAGGTGTGGACGGAAGCCGCGAAGTCCGACGCAGACGGCATCAACCATAACCTAGAGGGGTAGGTCGGACAGCGGAGCCGAGGCGTTCCCAGCGGGGATGGGCATCTAACGATGCTGGGGTATGAGATGGCAGGGGACTTTGGCTCTCGGGTGCCCAGGGGGGCGCATGAACTCTGCGCGTGCCTCCTGGGAACATGGGAAGGCCCGCAAACTCCACCGGGGGGCGCACGGAACTCTGCGCGCGCCTCCTGAGAACACGGGAGGGCCCACGCAAACTCCACCGTACCTGGCCGAGTCTGAGTTGCCAGTGCAAGCTGGGGCCACACGGACCGTCGGAGTGGACGAGCGCGTCAAGCAGGGGCGGAACGACTGCATGCTGCCAGCGTGTGGGCCCTAAGCACATGTTCGCCCCGAGCGTCCCCGCCTGCACGGCGGGAAGTGGCGATCGAACTACCGCCCATCTGATGAAACGTAGTGAGCCAGAGGGAAGCAGCTAGTACTCAGGGGTCCGGCCTACCCCTTCTGGCTGCGGAGGAGCCGGGGGAGGAGCGGGGAAGTAGATGGAGGAGCTGGGGGAGGAGCGGGGGAAAGGAGCACGGGGAGGAGCGGGGGAAGGAGCGGCAGGAGGGCCCGAACACAGATAGTGTCATCCATCGGGGAGGAAGAGAGGAGGAGGAACGGGGAGGAAGGAACGACGGAGGGAGGGATGGAGGGAATGGAGGGAGGAAGGCAGGGGACAAACATATCGAGGAGCCATAGGAATGCGGAAGGAGGGGAAGGGGGTGGGGAAGAGCTAAGGAGAAGTGATCAGGAATGCTCGAGAAGGGATGGGAGGCGTGAGAAGAAATAATGGAAACAACAATCAAGAGGGTATCCGGCCTCGAGGCTTCTCTGCAGCTCCTGGATCTCCCTGTCCTTGTCGGCGATGGCGGCCGGCGAGGTCAGGGTTGGGGAGGAAATCCCCTGCCCCCCTCCAGCTGCGTCCAGAAACCTTCCAATTTCTTTTCCCCATGCTGAAGCAGGTGCCGATCCCCCTCCTCCTCACCATCCTTGTGTACCGCCTCCTCCTCCTCCTCCTCCTCCTCCTCCTCCTCCTCCTGCTCCTCCATCTCCTCCTCCTCCTCCTCTTCTCCCCTCCCTCGCGCCCGCCCGCCCCCTTCCACTTCATTCGATGCCTCTGACAAGGCCCGCAAAACACGACCGTACCCGCCGCCTGCCCCTGACCCCCCCTTTGGCCTCCCCAGGCCGGCCCCGACGACCCCTGGAGGCGCCCTCGCTGACGATCTCCTCCAGCCCAGTGTGACGACCCCCGCCCCCGACCTCATCCGCCGCTGGCCCTCTGACGTTCCCCTGCGCAACGGCGACCCCCGCTGGCCCTCTGATGAGTCCCGCGGGTCCCCGGCTGGCCCCGCGGACAATGGCCTGCCCTGGTGATCTCCGCTGGATCTCGATGCCTCTCGCCGCCCGTCCCCTGACGACCCCCAGTGGTCCCGCTGCCGCCCACGATAAAATGAGACGCTCGGCAATCAGTCAAGCCAGACGGTCCGACTTGCGGCATCGGGCGGACCTTTCGTTGATGGCCGAAAATGGCCCTGAACGGAAATGGCAAGGCCCTGGGAGGCCCACGTGAGGGGCCTGTTGAGTCCGGCTGGGACAGCCTGGGGGGAGGTGTCTGTGCGCAACCCGAAGCCCCACCTGTCACGACAAAAAAATCTGGGCCATGTTCGGCCTCCCAAGGACCTGCCCGGCGGTACCGTCAAAACGCGACACGTGATGAGCCCCGGGCCCGAGCTCTCCGCGGGACCGTTAGACAACAACGTCGTGGCTCCTCGCCCAAACCTCCACGCCGAACCCCCTGGCGCTCGGGGCCCTCCCCCACACGACCCCGCCGGCGCGGCTGATCACTGCCGCCCGCGGGCCCTCCGAGGCGGCGGGCCCCTCCTGCCGCGGCGGGGCGCGCCGCCCTGGCGGCGGCGACCGCGGGCGCCCGGCGGGGTCGCCGCCGCCGAGGCCGGCGCCTGTCGGGGGGAGTGGAAGGGCCAATGGGGAGGACCCGGACCCAACCCCGAGAGATCCTGGCGGGGCACTTGTTGTGGTTCACAGCGGGAGAGGTCGCCCGCTTGCGGGCGGGACCAACACAGATCGATCGGGCTGGATTCGGAAAAACGCACCAGAAATATTGGGTGTTGGGCATGGTATTTGTTGTTTCCGATGCTGCTTTCGATCCGCTATGTGTTCGCGATGAGGGACCACACCTCCTAGCGCTTAGATCCAAGATCCCCAGCAGTTTTCCTTACGTTTTCGGCTATTTTCGTTAGCTCCTGGAGCTCGTCTTGCCTCCAGATGCTGTCCAGCAGCCGCGCCTCGCCGAGAGAACTCAAGCGGTGCCCGGATCGTCCCGGACGGCCGCTGGGGGCCCGACTCATGCCCCCCGAGAAACCGACCAGCCGAGAGCCCCTCTCGTTGTGAAAAAAATGGCAGAGGAGGCCTTTGACGCATTTTCAGCCTCTAGAGGGCCATCATCGGGGGCACTGCAGCCGTCAATAAACAGCCCGGGATGAAAAAACGGTCCTGGGGAAAGTGTCCAGAGTTCTGGGATGTTCATTCTCCGCAACTCCTCGTCCGAATTATCTCCTCCTCCATCCTTCCCCAGTCATTCTTATCCTGGTTCTCCTCTCCCTCTCGAGATTCCCCTCCGCCTGGGCCACTGAGGCAGGAGTCTCGAACTATCACCAGCGCTGGTTAGCCCGAAAGCCTGAAGGACCTCCGCTTCCTCCTCATCATCATCCATTACGTACCCTCGAGTATCCTCCTCCTCTTCCTCCTCCTCCTCCTCTTCCTCCTCCCACCTGCTCCTCCTCCATCAACTCCTCCTCCTCCTCCTCATCCTCCTCCTCCTCCTCCTCCTCCTCCTTTTCCTCCACATCGTCCCCCTCCTCCTCCTCCTCCTCCTCCTCCTCCTCCTCCTTCTCCAATTTCTCCTTCCCCTCCTGTTTCCCCTCTTCCTCCTCCTCCTGCCCTCTCCAAAATCATCCCGTGCGCTCCCTCTACTCCTCCTGCAGGCTCCTCCAGCCGATGTTCCCCTCATGCAAGGGCTGCTGCTGCTGCTACTGCTGCAGAAAAACCTCACCCATCCTCCTAACCTCCTCCTCTAAGACAAGAGGCATGGCACTCACCGTCGTAGACCTCTTCCTCCTCTACACCTTCACCTCGCTAACCTCCTGCCTCCTCCTTTTCCTCAATCCATCCTCTCGCTCCTCCTCCTACCTCCTCCTCCTCCTCCTCCTCCTCCTCCTCCTCCATCTCCTTCTCCCCAAAAAAAAAAAAAAAAAATCCCTCACCCTTCTCCTCCTCCTCCTCCTCTCCTCCTCCTCCTCCTCCTCCTCTTCCTCTTTAGACCCTCAACTTCTCCTTCTCTTCTCCTCTCCCCTCCTCCTCACTCCTCCACACTCTGCCTCCATCCTCATCCTATTACTCCTCCACCTTCATCAATCCTTACTCACTGCTCCACCTCATGGCTCCTACCTCCTTTTTCCTCCTCCTCCTCACTCATAAAAGCCTTTGCTGGCCCTACTCCTCCTCACTTGCTCCGCCTCCTCTCCTCCTCTCCTCCTCGTCCTTAGTCCTTGTCCTCGTTACTCATCCTCCTCCCCTTTCCCCAAAGTCAATAAAAAAAAGAACCTCCTCAACTCCTCTTCCTTCTGATGTTCCTCCTCCTCCTCCCCCTCGATTTATCAATCATATTCCTCCCTGCATTCTCCTTTTCCCTTATCCTCCTTCTGCTTACCTTCTCCTCAACCTCCCCTCCCTCCTCCTCCTCCCTTGCTTCTCTGCTGCTCACTGACTGCTGCTGCTCCTACCTCCTCCTATCTCCTGTCTCACTCACTCCTCTCTCCTCCTCAACCACTTTATCATCCCTTCCTCCCTCTTCCCCCCCTCCTCCTCCTCCTCCTCCTCCTCCTCCTCCTCCTCCTCCTCCTCCTCCTCACCTTCCTTCTCATCCCCTTCCTCCCTCGTCCCGTCCTCCTCCTCCATCTCCTTCCTCGTCCTCCTCTTCCTCATTTTCCTTCTGCCCCTCCTCTTCAATCCCGTTTCCTTATATCAACTTCTCGGTGTCGTACACCGAGGCCAGTGTTTAAGGCGGGCGGGGCGTTTCGCCTGAGACTTCATCACCACAAATGACCCTGGACCTTCAACATTGGCAACATTTTCACCGACGAAGGGCGGGTCGTTTTCAAACTTGTGGCTCTCGCCTTAGCGCCGCGCGCATTGGCTTTAACAAGTGGCTGCTCCTTTTTCAAAATGTGGCCCTAACGCAACGCACGCTCGTTTCAAACATTTGCCAGGGCTCACGGGTTCCCATGGTGAGCGTACCAGAAATGGCGTGTTGGAAGGATTCAAGGTTATAAGGCCGCAACAAATACGTTGATTCGCGGTGTTGAAGTCCAAAGAATGGCGTTCTGGCGCGATTCAGGATCGTCACTACACAACCACAACATTCAGGTTGATCCGTGGCGTTGGGATCCCGAAAGCAATGTTTTGACATGCTTCATGGTCTTCAAACGGTTGTCTTCCAACGAGGCAGTTCCCTCAGTGGGAATGAACCTTTGCAGGGGCCTATGAAGACGGAACGTGGAGGGAGCGCGTATTCCAACATCGTTGATGGCTCTTGGGTTCACACTGGTCCTCCTCCTCGTAAAGGGGGAAACCTGGGACTGTTTGGGAACCTTGTCCGTGGTGTATCTTGATATGTTGGGATCCGATTGGTTGTTCGGTTTGTGTTCGTTGTCTTGGTCAAGTTATTATGTTCTCTATCATCCTTTCTGTGGTCACCTAGCCCGGCAGTGGAATCCGATTGGAACAAGTCGCACAACAGGACCCCACTTGCAACGCACACTATAGAAATCAATGGGAACATCGCCCACACTTGTGTTTCCTTTTGACAAGAAACCCAAACCAAAAAGTGGACCTGCCAGAAAAAAACAAAGTCCGTCGCCCTGCCCATTGTTTCCGGGAGCGGCCAACCTGTTTTTTTCAGGGGCGGGGCGGGGATTTGTTGCCTCTGTCATCCGCCACACAAGGAATCGTTATATAATCGCCACAAAAAAGGAAATTTGTGTAAACCGCCCACAATAACAATCCAATTGAAAAGCCGCACGGAAAGATTCTATATGTGATCCACACAAGTACAGTCGATGTGTAAACCGTTCACAGGGGGAATCCGGTTGAACACCGTCTACGACAAGGGTGTTATGTGCAATGCGCATATTAGAAATCAATGTGTACACCGCCTACACAACAATTTCCTTTGAAAGGGAGCCAGGACACGTTTTCGCTAAATTCGTCGCCCTGCCATTTTTTTCTGGGGGCGGTGCGGGCGCGGGAAAAAACGGGAAGGGCGACGGATTCAGTTTTTCACAACCATCCTGTGGTGTTGGGTCCTCGTTTTGAAAAGACAGTCCCCGCGTTCCTTCCTTCCTTCTTCCCCTTCCTCGCTCCTCCCTGCGCTTCACCCACCCAATACAGCGCTTCATGGCCCCATATGGAACTCCACCGAAACCCCCCGTGGGACCGCCCGGGACGCACATGAAATTGGCATTTTCACCCACTCAATACAGCGCTTCGTGGCCCAATGGGGAGCTTTACCGAAGCCCCCAGTGGGACCGTATTGGACGCATGAATGTGGCAGTTCCACCCAACCAGTACAACATTTCGTGGCCCCATAAGGAGCTCCACCGAAGCCTCCAGTGGGACCGTCCGCATGCGCTCCAGAAACCCAATTTGGCACTTCCACCCACCCAGTACAACGCTTCGTGGCCCCATTGGGAGCTCCACCGACGGCCCCAGTGCTACCGCCCGCATGCGCTGCCCCCCGTCCAGTGCAGCGCTTCGTGGCCCCATAGGGACCTTCACCAAAGCCCCCAGTGAGACCGCCCGCACGCGCCCCACAAACCCAATTTGGCAGTTTCACAAGCCCAATATAGCGCTTCGTGGTCCCATAGGGAGCTCCACCGACGGCCCCAGTGCTACCGCCCCCGCGCGTTCCACCCAACCTCGTGACCCCATGGGGAGCTTCACCGAAGAAGATACTCACAATTGCGATACCCACAACTACATGTGGTCGCATCTCTCGCCAGGACAATTGTGTTGTTCTCTTTTTCCCCAGAAGGTCCAAAACTGTGTATGGCTCCTTTTCAGACGCAATTCTTGCGCGGTCGATCTACAAAGTGATGTCACATGTGTGGATTATGAATGGGATGCGTGCGGCTGTTCAATCAGTTTCCTTGCGTCGGCGATTTACATACTGGTTTCTAGTGTCTGGATTACATATACAAAACGATCGTGCTGCGTGTCGAGTCCTTGTGTGGGCATTTTACCATTCGGTTGCTTGTGCGGGTTACACATCGGATTCCGTTACGACACGTTGAAATGGGATTTGTTGTGGGAGATGCGCGTATTGATTTCCAGTGTGTGAATTCAACGAAAAAAATACATTTTGTGTAACTTTTAAAAAGGGTTATATGTTTTCTGGGGAACTTGCATACTGAATTCCACTGCCTGGAAATACCTCCAGGCTTACATGCTTTTGTTACAAAGTGGATCGCGGAGAATCCACTTGTAATGACATTATGTCAGAAATAAGTCCACACCGTCTGCAATTCAGTTGCCCATGACGCCGTCTAAAACAGGATCAGTCCAACTTCTCTCCTCGCAACAATTGCAACAATTGCGCGGGGCCCTTTCGTCCCCCCTGAGTGTAGGGCGCTCGGTCAAAAGGGCCGAACGATCAGCATATCCTCCGGCCGTCGAACGCGCGCCAATGCCACGTAACTGGACAACGTCGACGTGCCCCCCCAATTCACAGGTCGACGATTACTCCTTGCTTGAATGTCTGGCCTTGTGCTGAATGGGCCGTCGCCCCAAAGACTGGCGCCAAGGGGAACTGTCGCCGTTTCACTTTACGGGCGCCCCTTGTCCGCAACACTGCCAGCTCTTCTAGGGTCGGCGGCAGAGGCGGCAGACTTCACAATATGATACTTCCAAAGGTTGCCCCATCCCCAATCGGACTCAATCAGTGGTGGATCCATCCCTCAAGTGAACCCACACCTGAACAAAAAAAACTATGTTAGGGGTGGCCCCACCTCTAAGGGGTTTCTACGAGAGTCGCATCGAATCCAGATTTAGTAACATACTACTCGAGGTGGGTGAAGTCCCTGATCTGATTGTACCGGAATTGGCCTCATCCATGCCAGGATGCCACTGGGACGAGGTCCAAGTTTCACAGGGTCGTAATAAAAGGTGGTCCCGTCCCTCATGGCTTCATATTAGAAGTGGCCCCACCTTACTGGGGATTCGATTAAAGGTGGCTCAAACTCTAAGCGGAATATACAAAAGGTGGCTCCATCCTTGACAGGATCCCAAATTAGAGGTGGGCCAACCTCTGATAGGATCCTCCTAGACGTGCGCCCGTCCTTGGTAGGTTTTTAAGATAGACGGCTCGACCCTTCAAATAGGAATGCGACAGAGGTGGGCCCACCCTTTGCAGGATTATTTTAGAGATGGGTCCGCCCAGAGAGAGGGAGAGAGAGAGAGAGAAAAGAGAGAGAGAGGGGGCGAGAGAGAGAGAGAGAAAAGGAGAGAATGAGAGGGGGAGAGAGAGAGAGAGAATAAACCAAACAACAACAACAACAACAACACAAACAATTCACCTCTTCCTCCTCCTCCCCCATGTTCCTCCTCTATCTCTTCCTCCTCTTCCTCTTCCTCCTCCTTGTCCGTGTACTTAATGCTATTATTGTTTTTAATATTCTGATCATTGAGATTACGGATGTTACTATCATCAGTTTGATTGTGCGTCTTCATATTATTCCCGTCCCCATGATTTGTCATATCCTCCTCCTCCTCCTCCGCCCCCTCCTCCGCCTCTTCCACCTTCTTCTACGGCTCATCCTCCGCCTCTTCCGCCTCCTCCGCTTCCTCCTCCTCTTCCTCCTCCTCCTGCAATTCCTCCCCCACCTCCTTCTGCTCCTCCTCGTCCTCCTCTTTGTCCTCCTCCTCCTCCTTCTCCACCCCCTCCTCCTCCGCCTCCTCTTTCTTCTCCTCCTCCTCTTCCTCCTCCTCCTCCGCCTCCTCCATCCCCTTCGCCCACCTCCTCCTCCTCCTCCTCCTCACCCCTCCTCCTCCACCCTTTCCCTCCTCCTCCTCCTCCTCCTCCTCCTCCTCCTGCTTCTCCTCCTCGTCCTCCTTTTCCTCCTCATCCTCCTCCTCGTCCTCCTCATCATCCTTCCTCTCGCCTCTTCCACCGTCTCCATCCGGCCATCCTTCCGCCTCCCCGCCCTCCTCCTCCTCCTTCAATTCCTCCTCCTCCTCCTCCTCCTCCTCCTCATACCTTCGCCTCCTCCTCCTCCTCCCCCCTTCCTCCCCCCCCCAGAAAACCTATTTATCCTCCTCTACTTCGTCCTCCTCCTCCTTTACGTCATAATCCATCATCCCCTCCCCCCCCCCCTCCCCACCCCCTCCTTCTCGTCCTCCTCCTCCTCTTTTTCGTCCTCCTCCTTCCTCCTCCTCCCCCTGCTCCTCCTTCTCGTCTTCCTTTCCCTTTTCCATTTCTTCTCCTTGTAAATAACTTTTCCCTGTCGCACCCCGAAGTCAGCTTTCAGGTCGGGCCGGGCGTTCCGTCTGAGACTTCCTCACCACTCATGACTCTGATGCTAAAAATTTGGCAAGAGTTCCACGAATTAAAACAAAAAGAAAAAAATTAAAAAAAAAAAAAAAAAAAACATAACAATAAAAAAAAAAAAAAAACAAAAAAAACAAAAACAAAAATAAAAAAAAAAAAAAAAAGAAAATAAAAAATAAAAAAATAAAAAAAACAAAAAAAAAAAAAACCAAAAAAATTAAAAAAAAAGCAAAAAAAATAAAAAAAACCAAAACCAAGGCGGGTTGTAGTTCAATATTAAATACTCGCCTTCGCGCCGCGCACATGCCGCTTCAAGCGTGCAATTCGCCGGCCCAACGGGCCAGAGGCGTGCTAAGATCTCCGGTAACTGGTTAACAAATCTCTAGTTCGCGCGCGCGGGGCGGCCCCTGGGGGTCCACGGACGAAAAGTACCCCGGCAAGGTCCTGAGAGAGTCCCGGGAGGAGTCCCCCAGAGCGCTCCAGGAGCGCTCCATGAGCGCACCAACAGGGCTCCGAGACGTCCCCGAGAGCCCAAAGAAAGGCCAAGAGGCCCCCAAGAGGCCCCCAAGATGGTACACGAGGGGTCCGACATGCCACAAGATCGCTCCAAGACGCCCAAGATAGCCCCCAGACGCCCCAAGAGGCCTCCAAGAGCACTCCCAAGAGGGCCCCCGGAGGCAAAATTCATGGTTTTTCCTTTGTTTTTCCTTGAAATGTAAAATGATTAACAAACTTAGAAGATAAAGTATGAGTTAAAATGGATGGAAAAATATAAAATGTTCATGTTGTCAAAAAGAAAGTTAACTAAGTGCAGGTAAGTAAACTTGCAAAAGGTCAGCATTAATCCTCCATAATTGCTGGATGTTTGAGCAATGTTGGAGCTTACCCCCTTTCGGCTTCCCGACGCCCCAAGACGGCCCAAGAGGCCCCCACGCTCGCCCCAAGAGGGCCCAAGAGGCCCCCAAGAGGGCCCCAAGATGGCCCAAGAGGGCTCGAAGACGGCCCAAGAAGCCTCCAAGACGGTCCAAGAGGGCCCCAAGAACGCCCCCAAAGGGGCCCCAGAAAGGGAACACGAAACAACATTTCGAGCCCTCGGCCCTAAGAAGCCCCTACGAGGCCCCAAGAGGCCCCTAAGAGGCCCCAAGAGGCCCCCACGAGGCCCTCAGGAGGCCCCAAAGAGTCCCCCAAGCGGCCCCAGGAGGCCCCCCAAATGCCCCCCCGAGCGCCCCAGGAGTCCCCCAAGCGGCCCCAGGAACCCCCAAAGCGCCGCATTGACACCAGGCTCTCGGGCAAACGGCAGACATGAGACTGTATGGGCCGGCGGAATGAGCGAAGCGATTAATAACTTCACGGATTGAAGGCGGGTCGTTTTCAAAATGTGTTTCTCGCCTTCGCGCCGTGCACATGCGTTTTTCTTACATTTGCAAGAACATCACGGATTGAGGGTGGGTGGCTAATGTGGTTCTCGCATTAGCGCCGCGCACATTCGATTAAAACATCTGCAAGAGCTTCACGGATTGACGGCGGGTCATGTTCAACATGTGGCTCTCGCATTCGCGCGGCGCACATTCGTTTCTAGACAATAGCAAAAGCATCACGAATCGAGGGCGGGCCGTGTTCAAAATGTGGCTCTCGCCCTAGCGCCGCGCATATTCGCTTTATTGTGTTATTGATTCAGATAATGCAAGAATTTCACGGGTTGGGGACGGGTGATTTTTTACATGTGTATATCGCCTTAGCGCCGCGCACGTTCGTTTTTTTTCCACCGCATTTGCAAGAACTTCGCGGATTGAGGGCGGCTCCTGTTCAAAATCTGGCTCTCGCCTTTCGCGCCGCGCATACTCGTTGACAACAGTGGCACGAATTTTACGGATTTCCATCATCAGCGCGCCAGGACTTGCGTTTTGAACTAACGGATTCAGGATTATGCGGGTGCAACAATAATGTTGGTTCGCTGTGGGGAAATCACACGAATGACGTTCTGGCGCTATTCAGGATTGTCAAGGCGCAACAGTCAGGTTGAACCGTGGCGTTGGAGTCCCAAGATCAATGTTTTGACATCTTTCAGGGTCTTCGAACGGTTGTCTTCCAAAGAGGCAATCCCCTGAATGGAAATGAACCGCTGTAGAAGCCTGTGATGAAGGAGCTTGGAGGAGGGGTTTATCAACAAATCGTTACTCACCCTTCGGTTTACACTGGTCCTCCTCCTCCTCCTTCTCCTCCTCCTCCTCCTCCCTCCTCGTCCCTCCTGCTCCCTCCTCCTTTTCCTCCTCGTCGTCCTCCTCATCCTCCTTGTCCTCCTCCTTGTCCTCCTCCTCCTCCTCCTCCTCCTCCTCCTCCTCTTCCTCCTCTTCCTCCTCCTCCGCTCCCGCATCCCCATCGGCGTCCTCCTCCTCTTTCCCACTAGTACTCCGCCCCCTCCCCCGCCCTCCTGAGGCGAGGCTAGCGCCCACTGGCGCCGACAGACGACAGCGCGCACACGAAGACGCGACGACGGCGGCGACGACGGCGCCCGGCTCAGGAACGGCGCTCCCAGTGGCGGGCTCTGCCAGCCGCCGCCAGAGGTCGAGCTGCAGCTGGAGTTCGCGCAGCTGCCGGTCGCGGTCCTCACTCGCCGCGCGGTCGGCGGCAGGAGGTGCCCCGTCCTCTTCGCCCGTCCTGATGCTCGCCGCCCTCATCGACCACCCGCATGCCCTGCTGGTGCTGCTCATGCTGCTGTTGCTGCTGCTGTTCCTCCTCCTCCTCCTCGTTGCCAGCCTCGGCTCTGCTCCTCGTGCTCGTCCTCGGTCTCCTGCGCCTCCTCGTTGGCGAAGGGGGGGGGGGAACAGAGGGGGAAGGGGACGAGAGGGCGGGAGCGCAGAGGCAACAAAATGGAGGAGGGAGCCCTATGGGGAATTGCGTTGTCATTCTCCTCGGCCTCACCGTCCCCCTCGCCATATCATCCTCTTTCTGAGCCTCCTCCTGAGCCTCCTCCAGGGCCTCCCCACGCCTACGCTCCATTATCCTCCTCCTCCTCCTCCTCCTCCTCTTCCTTCTCCTCCTCCTCCTTCTCCTCCTCCTCCTCCGCCTCCTCGACTACGAGGAGGACCAAGTGAAGGTGGCAGTGTGGGGGGGGGTGGGGCGGATTGCTCTTGAATTCCCTGTCCTTCAACTCGCCGTGCTCGTCCTCGTCCTCGTCCTCGTCCTCGTCCTCGTCCTCGTCCTCGTCCTCGTCCTCGTCCTCGTCCTCGTCCTCCTCCTCCTCCTCCTCCTCCTCCCTCGTCCCCGTCCTCGTCCTCGTCCTCGTCCTCGTCCTCGTCCTCGTCCTCGTCCTCGTCCTCGTCCTCCTCCTCCTCCTCCTCCTCCTCCTCCTCCTCCTCCTCCTCCTCCTCCTCCGGGCGGCCGCGAGTCTCTCCAGCGAGCCCCGACGCTCTGTGGTCGGGAGTCGGCGGACACCTCCGCAGCCCCGCGAAGCGGGCGGCACCCCGGGGGGTAGCCAAGTGTCGACGACAGCAGCGACTCCCGGGGGGGCCAGAGAGGTCCGCCAGCCGGGGCCTCTAGACTCCGTTACCTGGGAGCACGAAGCACACCACCACGACCCGGTAGTGGCGCTCCCTGGGCCCCTTCGGCAGCCTGCAGGCCCCGCGCGGCAGTTCGCCCTCAGCTGGCCCTGGCTGCGCCGCCCGCCTCCAGCCTGCCAGCCCGGCGTCGCCGGCTGCGCGCCGCGCGCCAGGCCCTCCGCGTCCGCGGCGTCGCCGGCGCGCCGCCCCCGCCGGGTGCCCAGCGCCTCGCCGCCCCTCGTCGCCCGCCCCACAACCTTCGTCGGCGGCGCCGCCAGTTCGCGCCTGGCGGCTGCAGCCCTCGCCCCCCAGTCTGCCAGCAGTGGCCGCGCTGCTGGGCCCGTGCGGCCCAGCGCATCCAGGGCTCAGGCGGGGCGTCACGTCAGCGTTGCGAGCCGCCGCGCGTCGCGCAGCAGTTCAGCCGCTCCAGGGTTCCCGCGCTGGGCGCCGGCGGCCCAGCCTTGCGGCTGCGTCGCCGCCAGCACCGCGTCCGCGGCGTTGCGCTGGAGGACGCACCCGTGCGACTGGTGGAGTCGCCGGATGGCCGCCGAGCGCTCCTCCTCCCCACCAGCATCATCATCGAGACCGGCGCCTCTCTTTCCTCCTCCTTCTTCTTCTCCTTCTCCTCCTCCTCCTCCTCCTCCTCCTCCTCCTCCTCCTCCCCCCTCCTGTCTCTCCCCTCCTCCTCCTCATCCTCCCCCTCCGTTCCTCCTCCTCCTCCTCATCCGCCTCCTCCTCCTCCTCCGCTCCTCCTCCTCCTCTCCTCCTCCTACTCGTCCTCTTTATCTTCCCCATGTTCCTCCCAATCCCCCTCCCCTTCGTCCTCCTCCTCCTCCTCCTCCTCCTCCTCATCTTCCTCCTCCTCCTCCTCCATTCCGTTTGTTGTTAAATAACTCCTTCCTGTCACACACCGAGGGTGGCCGAAAACGCGGGCCAGGCTTTTCGCCTGAGATTCCTCTCCATGTATGACCCTGATGTTGAAACCAGAAAAAGCTTCACGCGTGGAGGGCGAATGATGTTCAAAATGTTGCTCTCGCCTTGGCGCCGCGCACATCTGGTTTAACACAAATCAAGAGATTCACGGGCTCAGGGGGGGTAGTTTTGAAAATGCGGCTCTCGCCTCAGCGCCGCGAGCATGCGTTTAAACCATGTCCTTAAATATCGGGTTGAGGGCGGATGGTTTTCAAACTGTGGCTCTCGCCTTAGGGCCGCGCGCATTCGCTAAAACGCTGCAAGGGCTCAACGGAGTGAGGGTGGCTCCTCAATCCTCAACCACTGTTGCTGCTGCTGCTGCTCCTCCTCCTCCTCCTCCTCCTCCTCATCCTCCTCCTCCCCTTCCTTCTGATGCCTCTCCCTACGTCTCCCTCCGTTTCTGTATTTTTTCCTCCAGCCCCCTCCAGCTTCCACTCCTCCTCCTCATCATCATCATCATCATCCTCCTCTCATCCTGCTCCTCCTCCTCCTCCGTCTCGTCCTCTTCCTCCTCCTCCTCTTCCTTCTCCTCCCCCCACTCCTCTTTCCTCCCCCTCCTCTTCCTTCCTCCCCCTCCTCCTCCTCCTCCACCTCGCCCGCCCCGCACCCCCCCAATTCTCCCTCCATCCCCCTCCCCCTTTTTCCGCTCACCCTCCTCGCCCCCCCCCTTCTCCCGCGACCAATGGAACGCAGATCCCAACACAGTGTCACTGCTTCCTCTGTCTTCTTTGTTGTTGCTCCTCATCCTCCTCAAACCCCTCCTCGTCTTCCTCTTCCTCCAGATCCTCCACCAGAAAGGGGAAGAAAGAGCAGACGCGGATTGGATGGGGGAGCAAGAACGAGGAAGGACGGAAGAGGAGCAGGAGGAGCAGCAGCAACAAAAAGGGCAGGGGGTAAAGAGTTCCTCCTACTCCTTTTCCTCCATCCTCCTTTTCCTCCATTCTCCTGGTCCTTCTCCTCCTCCTCCTTGTCCTCTTCCTCCTCCTTCTCCTTCTCCTCCTCCTTCTCCTCCTCATCCTCCTCCTCCGCCTCCTCCGCCTCCTCCTCCTCCTCCTCCTTCTCCTTCACCTCCTCCTCCTCCTCGTTATCTTTCTCCATCCCCCCCCCCTCGTGCTCCTCATTCTCTCCTGCCCCCCTCCTGACGGGCGAGCGTACGCTCGACGCGGGTCCTGCAGCTCCCCTTGGAGGAGTGCCTGCTGCGAGTGGACCGCGGTGGTCCTCGCATCCAAAGGCAGGAGGAGAAGGAGATGCTGCCTTCGTGCGGCGATAGGGGGGGGGGCTGCCTCAGGGGGGACACGCTGAGCTTGCATCGGCGACGCATCGGCCGATAGATCGGCGATGGGCCCTCGATAGCGAATCCGCATGGCCATGGACGGTGCGGGCGCTCGGGCCCCGATCGGCGATCCCCCCGAGCGTTGCTCATGGCATCAGTTGCTGCATCCCCGCGTCCATCGAACAGTACAAGCTACAAGGGACACGAGCAGGCGCTGACGCAAACAGACACAACGTAGCGCAGCTGTTTCTCCTTCCCCTCCTGCTCTGTACTCTCCCTCTCCTTCTCCGTCCCCCTCTCCGTTTCCGTTTCGTTTCTCTCCCTACATCTCTCTCTCTCTCTCGCCCCCTCTCTCCCACTTCAAGATCGGCTCGAGGGCTGATGACCCAGAGCTCAGCCGCGACGCGAAGCCCCCAGCGCAGCTATCAGCATTCTTCGCGCATGGCGAAAATGGACACACCGCATTTTGTGGTGCGGCTGACTTGCGTCATCTCCACATGCCCACACGCGCCGCAATGGTGCCTCAGAGCCCGCGGCGCGTGCTTTGATGCACCACTGCAGTCCAAGCCACAAGGACCACCAAGCTTTCTGTCCAAAGAGCCTTGACGTGCGCCAGGAGGCCTGCACCGCTGCTCTCCAAAGCGGGGGCGGCGCAGACCGGTCTGCTGCGGCCGACGACGAGCTTGTCCATAAGCACCGAACCGACCTAGAGACCGCTTACTAAAAGCACCGCTCCAACCAGCCTCGGCTCAGGAGCGAGCTGATGAAAAAGCTCAGGCAGAAGTTTCATGGACCCAGCCGACCCTCTCATCAGGATCACGGCGCAGCCCCTCTCATCAGCCTCGATGCACCAAAGTGTGACTTCCCCATCGCGCCTCCGTTCACCAGGGCCTGCCACGGGTTCTCAAACACAAGCAGCATCCCCTAACACCACGCCAGGGCAATCACACCGACTGACGATCATTGGGGTTCCGTCGTCATCTTCCCAGCAGTTGCAACGCGGGAAGGATGAATACCACTAGAGGACCCTGGATTACGACGCTGCAGCCAGCGCCAACCCTTACGGGTACACCCACCAGGATGAGCCCAGGGCGAAACCAGGCGAGGCCAAAGCGACACCCACGGCGAGGCAAACGCCACTGACGTTCCAAGTCACCTGCCCCCACGACAGCACTCACACGAGCTGGCGATTCGGATGACGCAAGGGACCCCTGTGACGATGTGGACTTGCCGAAAAGCATACCAAGTAGGGCAGGGTCCCAGTCGTCTGGCCTCGGGACTAAGCATGGTCCCACCAGGGCAAACGCAAGGCACACCAGGGCCGACGCGCTGCTCGACAACGCGGGCCGCATCCCTCCAACCGCGCCTCAGCCCATCCACGAAGGCACCGAGGTTACGGCCACCAGCCAAGTGAAGAACCCCATTCACGGCCAACGCGGCACGGGTGGTCCTTCTGATCAGTGGCAATACTGCCGCCCTGCACACGTCAAAATTGATCCCTCGCCCCCCTCAGAAGCCGAACCTCCGTGAGGAGGCCAAGCGGGTTGACACACCTGGCCCGCCTGCGCACATGCGAAAGCCCGTGCCGGTGTCTGAGCTCGCATCTCCTACGCCAGCGAGTGCTGCACCGACATGGCCGACGAACACCAGGGGGCACAATCCGCGGAAGAGGGAGCGTCGTAGCAAGCTCCGCTCGGGCGCACATCTGCGTGAGCCCCCCACGAGCAACTACTGGCGCTTGACCCTCGTCCTCCTCGCCCTGATGGTCGCCACCAGCCCGCTATGGCACGCGCACCAAAAACTGCGATGCGCAGTGCAACGAGAAACGCGGCCTAGAGCAGCACCTCCGGGACCAGCGCCGTGACACCGTGCAGCGCGACGGAGCCGAGTACAA